CCTTCCGAATAAACATGGGAGACAGTGCTGCTTGCGATCATTGCGTCCACGATGAAACGATAGAGCACGTTAATTCTTTGTCACTGCCATCACTACAGCGCGCTCAGACTGCCCCTAGCTGCTGCATTAGCCCGCCTTGACGACCGACCCTTGTCAGAATTCGGTCAGTGCTCGAATGCCGACACAATCTGTCCTCGCACTTAACATCAGTCGAGGCCTTATTGAACTTTCTGCGTGGTAGCGGCCTATTGAGTAAACCATGGCACCCCTGCTTTTGTTTTGTTTTTTCACGTGTGTATACTTTCCCCTTAGCTTTCCTTCTAATCTTTCTTCCCGATCCCCCTCCCCCTAGTGCAGGGTAGCGAACCCATTGCTATGATTCTGGTTAACCTCCCTGCCTTTCTCTCAATTTATTCTCTCTATCTCTCTCTTTCTTTCTCTTTCCTTCTCCGAAACCCAAATCAGTATACGTGGGTAATATATTACACCCCAACACATAACTGGACCATTCTCAATTGAACGCGGCACACGTGACGGCAAAACTAAGCATTCCACGTGATACTCAGTAGCGATGGAAAACATTGAATGGTCACCTTATCGGCTAGTCGGCTGAACATATCGTAGGGAAAACAGCGCAAAAGACCGGGACAGACAAGGCACACATACTACGCAACGTGTCGTATTTTGTCTGCCTTTTCTGTCCATGGTATTTTGCATTGTTCCCCATACGACTGTAAAACGTCTCATGCGTGCAGGAATTGATGAAAGAATATTGCGAGGAAGGTACCTAAATTGCTTTTAGCATGTTCGCACTGGGTCGTTCAGCTACGGGTAACGAGTATAAAATTCGTGAAGTCCTTTCAATATTCGGAAAAGCTTAATAAAGAACTATGTGAGGTATGTTCTCTTCTTTAGTAGGTATATGTGTTGCAAGAGCATGGTTTCCATGCACACTCTTGCTTGCGGACATTGCGGACGAAAATTACGAGACTGCAAACCATACAAAGCCGTTATAATATTGTGATCTGACATTTTAGAAGAAACTGTGTATCTTTCTAATTGAATTTTTGAGAAAAGGACGTAGCGATTGAGAGAAACCATGACATTGTTCTTTATTGCACCAATTATTTTTTTTCGTTCGCATCGAAATCGGGAACGGCGGTGGCGCCCGGTTGCGGTGCTTGGCTGCTTGCCCGAAAGACGTGGGTTCGACACGGGCCGCGCAGTCGCATTTCGATAGAGATGAAATTCAGCGTGCAGCGTCAATGAACGTTTAGGAACCACAGGTGGTAGGAAATATACGGCACCCTGCGGTACGACGTGCCTTATAAATATATCGTTATTTTGGCGCGTAAAATCTCAGCAATTAATAACTATAATATTATACAAAGTGGACCTAAACTTGGGTGAAAGGTGAAATCAGTGCTCGAGCGATGCCTTAATGACCACTTTTGCATCACTATATATATATATATATATATATATATATATATATATATATATATATATATATATATATATATATATATATATATATATATATATATATATATATATATATATATATATATATATATATATATATAAGGCCGCTGTGGTAGCTCAGTGGTTAGAGCATGAACGCGTTATTCGAAGGTCGTAGGGTCGATTCCTACTCACGGCTGGTTATTTTTTCATCCGCTTTTCTTTCTTCTTATTTACATTCCATTGGTTCTAATAACTTCCCCTGTACATTCCTTGGCATTACTGTCTGTTATATTTCATTAATATTGTGTTAAAACACGGAAAAACGAGCCCTTAAGTATACACTTCTTTCCCTTATATTATATATATATATATATATATATATATATATATATATATATATATATATATATATACAAATTCTTAAGCGAAGATGCGAACCATTGCTTTTAGCTCTTCAAATGATGCCTCTCCTCGCCACCACACGAGGCGCGGAAGTATAAGCGGGCGTACGTCACCTCGTACAGCGATTACCGGAAAATACATCCGGACCGAACGACCACTTTCCGACCAGAGCTCTGCGGCGTCCATCGCCGGAGAGATCTGTCATCACAGCTCGTCGAGTCCAAACACTTGACGCTCAATACGCCTGAACCGCGGGAGCGCCCTCGACGATGACATGTTTATCGGTGGCCAATCGCTGCCCCGCGGCTAATAAATAATATGGGACCCCCCCGACCAGCGAAACATGTTCTCCCTAATGGCGGACTCGCCGCAGGAGTGCAGCGCGGCCCCAACGCACCCACCCCGGGCCTTCTCCCTCCTCTTCCGATGTGCGCGCTTTGTGTGTGCACTTCGCGGCACACCCTCTCTCTCTGCAAAGAGAAAAAGTGGCAATCCCTGTCCCCGATATTGCGATTAGCGCTGGATAAGGGGCCGCAGCATGGCGGTGAGGGAGGGCTGCTTTGCGTTGCGCGGGGCTCCTCGACACAAATGGAGGAGCGGGCCGGGATCAGCACCGAGGAGAGCCCTTGGACAGCAGAGATGCGGCTGTTCCTGCTCCTTAAAAGCGACGGCCTGTCGTAATTGGGCGTCGGTGTTACTCGGCGTGCGTGCGCCCATACAGAGACGCGTTGCGGTGCGCCCCGAACGCGTGGAGAGCCTGATTGAATGTGTGATGAACGCCCTGGCGAGCTGTTACGCGAGCGGTCGGGTGGGTGGTGCGAGTGATGGCTATCTGTTTAATAAGCTTCCGCGTTCGCGCGAGGCCCGTCCAAGAGCGCAATAGAGACGTTCTTTTTCAGGGCTGCGCAGATGGGCCGGCGATGAATTTCGACGATGAGTGGTCGATAGTATAAGCGCTGTTCCCGAAAGTTTTCAGTCAGGAAAAAAAAAACACAGAATATTATTTGTTTATTTTTTTCCTTATCGTTATCCGATTTTAAGCCTCATGAAGAGCTAGCATGACAGAATGTATCAAAACATATATGTATATTCATTTAAAAACTATAAAATAGGGCGTCATGCGTGGTCGGCTTGGTTAACCAGTTAAGGAAAGCCTGTGCTAAGACGTGGCCTTTCTTTGCGAGACTGATGGTTTCACTCCATTTTTTTTAGCTGCGCGCACGCAAAACAGGAAGCTAACGCCAGTGATGAACGGCATGAGTTTCCGCTCGCCTTCAAACCAGTTACGAAGCAGCCGACAGCCGTTACATTCTCGCGTTTACTTTATATCGCGGGAAGTGCTCGAACGCTTTATTCGGATGGGCTTCCGGTTCAGCTCAGTATACGAACGACCAGATTTTCAACCAGCGGCTGAGATCGAAGATGGCAGGCAAATGACTGGTCCGGCCGTCAACGCTTAGCCGATATTAATTACCACCTTGTTGCGTCAAGGTTGTTTCTCGTATAGCCCCGCCGCGGTGGTCTAGTGGCTAAGGTACTCGGCTGCTGACCCGCAGGGCGCGGGTTCGATTCCCGGCTGCGGCGGCTGCATTTCCGATGGAGGCGGAAATGTTGTAGGCCCGTGTGCTCAGATTTGGGCGCACGTTAAAGAACCCCAGGTGGTCGAAATTTCCGGAGCCCTCCACTACGGCGTCTCTCATAATCATATGGTGGTTTTGGGACGTTAAACCCCTCAAATCAATCAATGTTTCTCGTATATGCGATCTCGCTCAGAGTGTACGGCGATTTATGTGCGCAGGATTAAAAGGACGAAGTGCCTTGCCGGAACTCGCGTCTTCGGGCTTACCGTGTCCCAGAAAGAACTCCAGAAAGCACGAGTTTGTTCAGAAGAGCACGCTTCCTGTTTCTCGCTGGGAGAGAAAACACAACGCGAGTGCCTTGGAGAGCGCTACACATCGCGTCGGCCGCCTTGCCGATCGATGGCGGCGCTAGCCTGGGTCCTCGCCAGTCGTTGGGTCGCCCGTGACCCTCCAGCAGGCCTGTTCTCTTGCGAGACATAAAGAGGTGCCCGCCAAGGCGTGAAGAGGGCGCTGCGAAAGTGGCGGAACGGCGCACGCGCCGGGAAATGCGTTTTATATGTCGTCTGAGCGGGAAGACTCCTCCGGGAAGTCCCCTTCAGCGTACGAAACCCATTTGATGCCCTCGCTCTCTCTCTCTCTTGCGAGAGCCTCCGTTTGCGCCTGCCGCTGTGTACGTGTTTTGTTGTTTTATACTGCAACCTCTTGTTCCCTCGATGTGTACGTCTCCCCCCCGCTGCCCTCATAGGTATACCTTCCTACGAAAGCGATTTTCCTCTGCTCCATTGTTTTCCCGTGTCGGCATCGTCCCTCGCACACCGTTAGAGAGCATGTTTTATAAAAGCAGCTGCGGTGGGCTTTCGACGTCGGGTCGATTCGAGCAGCGGGCCACCGAGAGCGCTGCCCGAAAAGCCAGCGGGATCAACAGGAGTGCCGATAGCCGCGCACCGTCGTTGGATGTATATGGCGCGCGTGCCCCGCGTTCGCGATAGAGGCGCGGCCGATTTTCGCCACCACGAATGGCCTGTGGCGGCGGGGCTCTATCTTTTCTGTCGTTCTGTATACCTCGCCCGCTCGTAGGGATTTACGGTGGCCATTCGGCGGCCCGTCTCGGAAAGCATTGTTTTTACGAGCTTCTAAAAGCCGCGGTCGGCTCTCTCCCGTCGCGGTTTAGACGTGTTTCCTTCCCCACCGCACTTCTTCCCGCGGAAAACCGAGTTTCCCCGTTGTGCGTGAAATTGAAAGAGCGCCGAATAAACGGCGTACCACTCCCAATACCAGGGACTTCCGTCCATAGGCTGTATTAAATACCCCCCCCCCCCCCCCCTAACACACACACCTTCACTTCTGGGTGGCAAACTTCGCGGGCAAGAAAAAAGCAAATAGGAAGGTTAGTAGCGAAAGTGGTAACTGTGGCACGCTGAACCCTCATGTATTTTTTGTTTCTTTATAGAGACAGAGATGTTGGACAAGGGCAATGCGGATCGACGGCGTACACTACCACATACATGCTACACAGACAAGTTCACGCAGGCAAAGCAATACGGCACTTGCCTGTTGATGGAGCTAACGCTGGGTATGTTGTCTTGGTCGCAGACGCCGTCGGCCAGCAGCCGGTCGCGGATCTCCCAGGCGAACATGGTGGGGTTCTGCTTCTTGTAGTTCGCGATGGCGTCCACCACCTTGGGCGTGGCCACCTTCGGCTTGCTGCCGCCGATCACGCCCGGCCGGATCGAGCCTGTCTCGTAGTACCTGCAGGGAGCGACACAGTACTTTGCCATCACGAACATTCGCTATCGATCTCCATAGCATACGGGTAGCTCGAGGCTGTGTGCCACTGTGAGATTGACGATGTGCAAGCATGTGCATTGACTGATGGCTTCCATGACGCAATGCGGAACGCCACCTCTAAGCAACCTGCAATCGAGCAACTTGGCATATTCATTGGTTCTTTAACAGCTATCTAGGAACTCGAGAGGCTTCTCGAGGTGATGAAAATCTGCGAGGCGATGCACACCATGAATCGTGATACAGCCTTTGCGTCATGGTACACTGAATTCCAAGGTCATACTGCAAACCCTCACAATATTGCTGCTGACCAGCAGAAACACTACCACAATAATGCAGACCTTCCATCTATTCCCCTCACACCTGAGCTCTTATAACTCACTCCGTACCCGTAAAAATGTTCTCCGACAGGACACACACGCTCTTATCCCACCTTGTGCCTGCTCACTCCCGCTTTCACCTTACTAAGGCGTAGGAAGTCGTGCTTAGGAGCCTTCGGGAAGAGGTGGCCCTTACACCGGCTGTTACATCAACGTGGGATTGGTCGCATTAAGCAGTGTGCGCTATGTATCTCTACTGCTCTATTCAAACGAAGCAAACAGACACATATACCATCTTATATAGGGACATTCCAAGGATTACAGTTGGAACACTCCCGATCACCTCCTGCAAGACTGCCTTCGCTATATACTGTGACACAACCTGTTGTGACCACATGACAACCGATTCCGCAAGGCACGGCTTCACTTCATACAGAACACTGACCTACATTTATTACGCGTATGCATGCAACATATTATGCCTTAAGGGCAAGTCTATATCGCAATAAAAACAAACAAACAATCATGTGCATTAATTAGCATGAGGCAACCACTAGTGGCATGTTGTGTGCAGTTCAATTAATGTGGCTAATGCAGAGTGCGGAGCCAGTTCGCGACCCGTCAACTCACGGCGCCGATAGGTTCCGCGAAGGCGAACGTGGAAGAGCACGCGCGGGAAAGAAAGGAGACTCCTTCGTTCACACGGTTCACGAACGGAGCCGGCAAGATCGCCTCCATCAGGGACGACAAGGGAAGTGTGTCTGGCATGAATCACGTCAAGGTCAGTCATCTCAGTACGTGTGCCATGGATAATGCCGCAGGAACGCGACCACTGGGCTGACCATGGTTGCGGTACGGAGACGAGCTTGTCCTACCCCGCTATACGTCATTACCCGCCTCGCTGTCGCATGCACACCTGGTCAGCACACAGGGACTGACGGTGTACTCATCGCTCTTAAGGGGGCTTCTACGAAGCAACGTTTAATGAGAGAGCTGACGGAGCTCGAGCGTGAGAACGGCTACCGACGGAGGTCAGCCGGCGAAGGCCAGCACGGCCTGACATGGAAGAGAGTGTGACACGCTGAGAACCTATCCCCTCTCGTGTTATATTTCATAACATCGTTTTTACCAATGCAATGCCTGCTATAAAAGTGTTTTTGCTGTTGGTTTGTTGGTTGTGGTGACGACAGCCCACACGTGTAATTGACTTGTGTGCAGACCCTTTGTTCAACCGAGGGTTGAAAAGAGGGTGTTGGAATGGGCTTGGACCCGAGCAGACGTCTGAGGCTGCAATAAAGCGCCTCTTCACCGGACTACGGCTCTTCCTTCGCGCTGCCACCGAGCACTCGAGTCATCGAGGGGCACCCATTCCGAACCTCAAACACCTTAGCTCCTTAGTGTAGAAGCTAGTCGAGGAGTGAGGAAATTAACTGCTTTAAAGAAAGAAAGAAAGGAAGAAAGGAAGAAAGAAAGAAAGAAAAGAAAGAAAGAAGTGCCGCTGTTTAATAATTTAGGTAGTTGTTTTACATCATATCTATGCATTGCTGGTTCTTTCCAAATACAGAAGATTGGTAGAGACGAGTATTATTAACGAAAAAAAAACATGAGATGGTTCTATAAGTATGGAATATATTTAGTGGAGCTTTCATACAATGGTATTGTATTCACGAGCGCACAGCTAGTCTGCCAAATACAAATACCACCAGCATTCATCTCTGGAGCTGAACAAACGAATAAGGTATATACAGCTTGTGAAAGTGCCAACTTTATCTCCACTTAGTGCAACTTTTCATTTAAATCGAGCCAGCGGACGTATACTTGTTGTGAGGGCGAGTTGCATCGACCGTTTGCGCAGCAAGTGCGCACGCGCGGGCTCTCATACGTGTGCCACAGTTCATTGCAAAATATTGCGGACCCCGAGCTGGCACCCGACTGCTATCCTGCACGCTTCCAGCCTCGGCCACACGGCGTCAAATGGGCGCAGTCCGGCGACTCCAAATTAGCTATCGATCCGCGATTGCCACACTGGCCTCTCGACCTCTGCAATTACGCGCCGGGCTTTTCCTTCCGCGTCTCGCGTAATTAATACGGGACTCCCCCGCATATATTGCTAACGCGAACCACAGGTCGCTCTTACCGAGCAGTGAGCGTCCAGTTTCGCGTGGCCAGTGGTCGACCGCCTGTATAAGCCAGTCGGCCCACCGAGCCATCTTTCACGCGCCACTCCCTGGCGCGGGGTTGAAGACACACGTGCGCACACGGAGCTCACTGCAATTATAACCGAGGGAAGACTGCGGCTCTCTTACACTCCCATGCATGGGAAGTTTGTTTGAATGAGCCTTTCGCTTTGGGGCCACTGCTTCGCGTTCAGCTGCTTTGGTTACCTACCATGACTTCACGCATGAGCGACTGTAATCTCACGCACGTAAAGATATCAAGCACTTACTATGAGAGTTTGCTAAAGAAAGGGGGAGAATGAGAAAAAGTGCACTGCAGAAAACAATGGTGCAAACGACGCACCCCCGCAATCAAATAACTCACGACGCTTAAAGAAGCTAACCTCGACATCTTTCAGGGACCGGGAATAGGAGACCAAGTGTCGCGGATCGCTGAAATCAGTATATAAAAATACGATTTTCAATGCAAAGGAAACTAAGAGCGAAATCTGTTGCCTTCACCATATAAAATAAAGCAACCACTGTTTCCTAATTTCGTTCTAAACGTGCAGTAATTATGTGACTGCTCTCTGCTTCAACTCGTGCCATTTTCTACGACCAACGATTAATCACCTCCCGGCCAAACGAGTGTCGGTGGTGCCCAACATGCTTCGCGTATAGTTCACTCGCACAAAGCAACGCCACGGCGTATAGTTTGTATGTGCGCGCAGTCTTAACCGGCGCTCATATAGGCGCGAAGCGCTGGCTCATTCGCGTTTTGCAGCGAGCCTTCCTTCCCGCACGTATATATGCCACGCTGCCATCTGGTGGCCGCACACAAAGGAGGGCGACCGAGCACAATTAAGTCGGCCCCAGTCTTTCAGGAGATCATTACGCTACAACGGGACCTTTTGTTGTCCCCGGAAAAGCGGTATCCATCAGGCTGCACTGCTCGGGTGAGGTCCATTTTAAAGTCAGATTAAGACAGACGGTTGTCGGGTGGCGCTGTTGATGTCATTATTACGCACGCCAGTGAACCGCGCTGATGTCATCTCGCGAGTCGATCAGTGTCCCGCCGCCGGAACACGGCTGCAGAGGAGCGCACTGACTTTTTGTTGGGCGCCGCTCCTGCGAAGGGCACGGAGAGCGCGTGCGTAGGGAAGAAGGGGAGCACCGCGTAGCAAACGCCGATCTTTATGCGCGCCAAAACAGGGGCGGCACTGGGGATGCATTCGAGCGTCTATATAAGCGCGCTGAAGGGAGGGAACGAGAGGGAGACAGGTCCCGTTTGGCGAGCGAGCGAGTGCACGTTTTTATTCGGGCCCGGCGAAAGGAGGAAATGACCCAAAAGTTATGGAATTTGCCGAGCGCGTTGGAGGGGACGCAGTAAATTTTCTCGGACGGAGTCTGTCAGATAGGGCGGGCCGGGAGCGGCTCCCTTCTGGTCAGCTTGTTCGCGCGCGCCGGCGCGGAAGAAATGCGCTACCAGTTGTTGCGCGAAGTCCACGCCGGGGTGCATATGCGAGGCGCATTTTGACTTTCACCCCGCGGGTTTAACGGGGCACAGTCGACCCGACAGCCTTGACAGCCGCGGTGGAGAGGGTCACAGTTAACGAGCACATCTGTTGGGCGCAGTGAGACGTGCGCGCCGACTGTCAGGGCACCTGTCGAGTCTGGCTGGTATTTAAATAGAAATTAAGAGGCCGACCCAACGGCGAGCCGGCTGGACTAGCGGAGGGAGGAAAACAGGGGATGAATTGCGTTTTGGTTGTTTTTTTTTCTTTCCTTATTTTTGAAGATGTTTGTTTCAAAAGAAGGGGGAGGATTTTACTGAAGCTGATTCATTTGGTGAAGGCAATGAGTTGCTCCCACAGTATAAATGTTCTACTGTAAATGACGTGTCCCGATATTCATTCTCCCTCGCGTACATTCTCCACATTCTCATGGTAAGTTCGCACGTATATCAAAACTATACCCTGTTTTATTTTTTTATTTTTCAATTTTAATCTCGAAGACATGGTATATTAGGTTTTTCTGCTCGTTTTAGTTGCTAGGTTCTCTTAAAGTTAGTAAACAACAGACTATCCATATATATTAGGCTGGTTGGTCAAAACACGCGCTTTAAAATACACTTATTAATGATCCCGGTAAGACTTCGCATGCAATCGGCGTCCCGTATGATTATCAGAATATGCAGAGTTCGAAGCCCATATTCCACTTGACTATGATTAAGGAAATGGCGAGGGCAGGCGACGTGGCACACTGTGTGTGGGCCACATTGCGCTTCCCGCCAATATAGCTTGTCACGTCGAGCCTTCTCACCTTCCGAGTATCTTGGAGACGCATCCGTGGGAGACCCTCAGCTGGCGGCTGATGTCGCAGGGCCGGACACCCTGGTGCGCCAGCTCCACAATGCGCTGCCGCACCACATCCGGTAATGGACGGCCGTTCACGAATACGCCGCCCAGCTGATTCACGCCACCATGACCTGCGCCGAATGGAGATAAAGCACGCGCGTTATGTACGCCATCCCTTCATCAATTAGGACTAATCGCGCGCAATCAGTTGATTAATTGATATGTGGGGTTTAACGTCAACGATCATGAGAGACGCCGTAGTGGAGGGCTCCGGTAATTTCGACCGCCTGGGGTTCTTTATTGTGCACCCGAATCTAAGCACACTGGGCCTACAGCATTTCCACCTCCATCGGAAATGCAGCCGCCGCAGCCGGGAATTGATCCCGCGACCTGCAGGTCAGCAGCCGAGTACCTTAGCCACTAGACCACCGCGGCGAGGAACGCCTACAATCAGTCGTTGAACATGAGTAGAGATGCATACTGTTGGGCACAGAACTACGTTACCGTGATGATTTCCCATCCATCATTGCTCTATATATGTGATAAGGATTACGCATTTTAGAGCAAAAACGCCAAGACAGCAGATTAGTTGAATTCTTCTAAAAATTCAATATAAGATTTATATGGTCATTTTTTGTCGGCATTGGATATATATATATATATATATATATATATATATATATATATATTTATATATATATATATCCGGACGGAGCATCCGTTTTGTCATTGGCTGTCAACATGGTATCGCAATATGAGGCAGCCTCAGCTCCCGCTCGAGTCCCTGCTAACCAAAAAACGTCTAGTTAGCGTGCGTGCCAGGCGGCCCGTGGTTCTTCCAGCATCGTGTTGGCTTCTCGAAGACCGCTCGTATAGCCATGCTAAAATAAAGAGAGCACCGAAGCAAGGGGAACAAAGCGAACACGCGCTAGAGCACGCATCGCCGCCTTGAAGCGCGCCTAGAAGACACGTTGCTGACAGTGAGACAAGGTGCTCACCCAGGGCGGGCACGCACCACAGCTAACAAAGAGCGAGAGCAGATGATGAACGAGCTGCAAAAGGGCGGGCAAAGCGTCAAGAATAAAGCGCACGAGCGCGGCGGATGCAACCTGGTGGTGGCACGAGCGCTCGTTTCACGCACCGGGCTCGGCTCACTCGGCTAGGTGAGCTCGCTGTGTTTTCCGCGGCTGAACGTTGTGCGTCATATAGTCACTCACCAAAGGGCAGGCTGCCCTCGTGGAGGTGTTTTAAAAAGTCCCTGTCATCGTGCGCGCCGTGGCAGCAGCGCTCGAGTGACATGCTCGAGAGAAACGACTTGCCAAGGGCAACCTTGATTTACGACGCCCACAAGAGGGGGAACCCTTTGATTCGCGCTGCTTCGTCGACATTTTGGCTTCCCAATGGCGCGCAGTGTTCTGATTCGACTTTTTTTTTTGTGCATTTTCTCGAGATGACCCACAGCGTCGAATAGAGATTGCATCACCGGGAGATACGCCGTTTGTGCTGCTTTTAGGGAGATAATGACATCCGTCGCCGAGACCGCCCACATCTGGATGTTATTCTGTCACCGCAACGAAGACGACGGTCGCTGTGCACCCGACGACGTGAAACGGGCGCTCTGTGTTTCATTTGAACTGCGTAGACGTGCGCCGCTGACTCGCGCACTGATTTTATCCCTTTAAGCTTTATATGCATTTCACCGCGGTCTTGCCCGGCGTATCAACGACCACCGAACCGGAAGCACCCCCTTCTCCCTTAACGTTCACCCGACGAGGACCTCCCCTGTCCTCGACGCGATATTGCCGAGGCCGTGTAGCACCCAGTTCTTACGCGAAGCCGACAGCCCCGATCAAGCACCGAGGGTCAGTGTCCCGCCGACACGTTGCGGTTTTCTGGTCGGCCTCGAATAGAGCGGGCGGGCGTTTATATTTACCGGCGGCTGCTCCCCTCCCTCCGCACGAAGGCGTCGGCGGCGGCACGCTTGTTCAACTAATGAGGCTATTCTCAGCGGCGGCGGTCGCTTGTTAATAAGCGGCCTTGCCGGCGCCGCTGGCAGCTGTTCAGGTGGAACGAACCGCTCAGAGACGGAGCGCCGCGGCGCTGACAGGATTCCTCCGCAGGCGCGCACCAGCGGGGGCGAGAAGGCGGGGGAGCGTGCTCTTGGGGTGGGCTCTCTTTTCTCGTGCCGCCGCGGAGAAGATGCTCGCCCCGGGGGCTCGGGACTCGTGTCTGCGGTGAAGTAATAGCACGTGACGTTCCGCGTTCCACGGCAGCGTCGAGCGAGCTTTGAAGGAAGCCGAAACGAAGCACACGGCGCTACTGCATCGCTCTCGATGGCACGTCGTCGCTGAGAATGGAACGCGCTGTTTGTGGACGTCTGACCGATACATGTATCAGACAATAGAATGTGTTAAATGCATTTGAAGGCTAGGAAAGGGAAATGGCGTGCATTTGATCATAGAGTGCCAGCTTATGTTGTTTCGACTCTGTTCAAGAGTATAGCTGTACTTGCATTTCACCCGCCTCCGTGGACTCTCATATCGATACAAAGATCGCGTGCTGGATTCAAACGCAGTTTTCACGATATGATCTTTTTTTTTTTTTCGTATGACATTAGAAACACAAATGCAAACTTTTCGTCTAATTTTGTGAAGCATGCAGAGCTATTGCGTACATTAAGAAGACAATATAAAACTAGGCATGACATTGCAGATATTTAATGTGTGAGAACCAATAACCTGGCTGCTAAGGACTTGCTGGATGGCGTGAAACTGTCCAGACTCGCGAAATCTTCCCGTCACACCGTTGGGGAGCTCAGAAAGGGTTACCCTGCCCTTCTCTATCCACCCTCTCTCCTTGTGACTGCTGCATGCGAGGGTGTTGGCACTGCTACAGAAATACTGGTCAATACTTGTGGTATATACGGGTTCACGCAATGAAACGAGCAGTTACATCTTTATAGACATCGTGCACGAACCAACAGTGGACGCGCAAGCGATTTTGAGAAAACACATGGTCAAGCTCCGCAGGGCAAGTAGCAACGTATAGCGGCACGATGTATCATAGGGAAGCTGTGGACAGATGCTTGCAATTTTGTTTCTGCGTTCGATAGAATGGAGCGACTCATTTAGTCTCTTCGTTTTTTTTTGGGCTATTTGAACATGTTTTTTTTTAAGGAGACACCATAAAAAAGGTCTAATTTGTATCTTAGCGGCCACAGTTCAATATCACACCTATGGTCGCTAACAGTCTGAAGTTTTGACACAGCTGCAGAAGTGAGAACGGCAGGGGAATGCTAGAAATTATTTTTGTTTCGTAATTACTGTTATTACTACAACGAAAATGCATTTATTACTCCGTAAAATATGTGGCCGCAGGATTTTTGTATCATCCGATAGTCAAATAGCTAATTCACTATCGACTGCTTTGATATGTTAATATCCCGCTGCGGTACAGGCTTCTCAGTGATACTCTCACCAAATGCACACACCACATAGAAATACCGTATTTACTCGCTTAATTTGCGCCTACACATAATTTGTGAACCCCTAATATTTTGTCAGCTTTATGAAAAAGAAAGTATTTACTCGCAAATTTTGCCCTCCCAGACCAGGCTGAGCTAGCTCGCCAGTGCGCGCACGGAGAGACTCTGGACCTTCGGATTATTTGAACGGGCGCGCCAGGCGCGCGGCCAGCCAATCAGGCGAGCGCAGTCAGACGGGCTGCGAGTGCGAAGTCACTTCTTCGAAAACTTTTTTTAACACCATATTTTGCTCGTACTAACTTGTTCAAATTTTCCTTCTTTCCTCGTACCATTGAAGAGTGGAACGGTTTGCCTGCAAGCAGTTTACACTCTCCCGATCTTATTTACGCTGAAATTTGAAGTTGTTTTTCTAACTATTCCAACTATTTCCTCTTTTCCCTCCCCACTCTTTCCTTTTGTTGCTTTTGTATAAATATGTCACGCTTTCCACTTTATTTGTTGATGTTGTTTTGAAATGTGTATGACAACTGTACTTGCCCCTCCTGCTTTGGCCTCTGCCAGCAGTATTTGTAAATAAATAAAATAAAACTTCCCCTGAACTAAGGTCCCTAGAAGGCCGTGCACGAACACTCAAACCTGTTGACGAGCCGCCAGAACTGCTCTAGCATTTGTTTACCTCTATCTCTCCATCATTAACACCGTGTGAATGCACGCTCACGTCACGGCACGGACAAATTTCGGCACCGGAGGCATGTGAGGGCCTGTCTGGCCTGTCGTGCCAACTGTCCCCCTCGTTTTTTGCGTCCGCGCTGCAACGCTTGTTTGCTCGATTACGGAGGTTTAGGTTTGGCCATCTGTCCTTCGCGTCTGTTCTCTTGCGATGGGCTACAGTAATTATGTGTAAGTCAAAATTCAAGCTCGCTGTTGTGAAGTTTCCCGAAGAAAACGGAAATCATGCCACCGCAAGCACCTTAGAGTGAAGTTTTCCAACGTGTGAGAGATCGTTGCGATCGGTCTGAAAGAGAGTGCACACTTGCTGAAACGAGTTTCCTGCTGTTGAAGAAGGACTTTTCAATTATGTGCGAATGCTTAGGTCCTCCAGTAACGCCGTCTCGGGGGACCTAGTTTCTCCCACAGCATTGTCGAGAAGAACTTCAAGAAAATTGGCATTCGAATGTGCTGAACAGAACCGAGGGCGATACCCTTTGGTAGGGCGGTGGCAGCGGTCGCGACGATGATTCTCGATCAATCGGACCTCTGGATCAGCGATTCCGACTGGACGTACCACGCTTTACCGGGTCTGACTGGTTTAAGTACGTGCTGATGCTGTTAAATGAACAAGTACACTTTGTTGGTGCTCCAAATCATTTTATTGTCTTTAATGTATAGTATTCGTGCGTTAGGACTAACGCACATTATTTTTATGCGTTCGCGAAGTCCCTGCGTAATTTGCACACCCCCTTTTCGAAGCCCCAGAATAGCGAAAAAAAAGTGCGCAAATCATGCGAGTAAATACGGCATTGGCCCTCCCTATATGTATATGCTATGCCCATGCCCGACCTCGACATTGCCAGCAGCCGCCTCAGTACATTCCACTTCCTAAGCGTCCTACGCGACGCGCGCATTTTCTCGCGTCATCGGCGTCTCCAAAGGTGGCCGCGCTCCCCGTTCTCCCAAGGCGGCGCACAGGAAGCCGGACCACCCGGTGGTATTGCGTCGACGCGCTGCCATTTTCATGAGCGCCAACGGGCTCGATTTGCAGCGGTGATAAGGGCCCACCCAAGAATTCCTGCCGACTGTGCCGTAAGCTAACCGCCGCAAAGGAGGAAGTAAAAAAAAAAAAAGAGAAATGAGCACCGAATGTGCGCACGCGAGTCTTCTTCATCCGCGGCCAAGGGTCCTTTTTTCGAGTCCGCCGCCGCGGCGGTCGGGTTTAAATTTGTAAAAAGAAGGGATGCATGCAAGCTGGCGAACAGGGTGGCTGCGGGAAAATAAATTGGGATTCTCAGTCGGGAATGAAAAAAGCGCAGGGGAAGGGGAGCGCAGTTCGCGGCTTGATAGTGGCGCGCGATTGCGGACCTCTCCCTTCTCTCTCAACGTGCGCGGCTCTATTTACGTGTTTCTGCTCTGAGCGAAGCGGACGGTCGCGTAGGGCCGCTGTCTCTAAGCGATGTCGCGGCCGGTTTATGCGAGGCCTGCGTGACGACTATATTGAGAGCGGCAATTAGGAGGCACTCGAAATAGCCCCCCCCCCCCCCTTCTTTTCAACTCAGCCGGTCACGCGATCACTGCGAGAGAAACACGCTTCAATGACGGTGGCTCGAACGGCTCAAGTTCGCGATCACGTGCGCTTGTGCCGGAGATTTAAAAGCGGCCCACTTCGCTTGTCCTGAATGAGGGCTTTTTTTTTTTTTAATTCTTGTTTCTTTGAATACCCGCTGACACCGTCGACGGCACGTGTCGTATCAATAAATCAATGATCTAATGGGTGCTGTTCCCCGTTGACCTTCGCGAACAATCGAAGGAAGTGACGTAAAAATGTTCTGTTTTTTTTTTTTTGAAAATTTCCCGTTGACGCCGAGAGAAAAAAAAAACGTTCGAGGTATTGATGGACTCTTAGACAGGGAACTCTTTAGTGAATTGCATTCTTTTTCTCTACATGTGGCTCCAAAGTACCGTTAGCCTATATTATCCATTCAGTGGCTGTTACTGAAATAGTCATTAGAACTCAACCTTCAGTAAGTTAAACAGCAACAACTCAATTCTTATCAGAGGTCTATTTGAGAGCTTTTCATGGAAATTGTTTTGGAACGTAAAACCCCGGACATTAATTATAGATAGTTGTACCGTTTTCCACCGAAAAGTAGGGAAGACACGGCGAGCCAATAAGCAAGCTATGTAGTGTGTTCGATAATCTGTTACGTGGACGACACTGTACATTTTTAGTCGGTAAACCTGGTGAAGTAAAAGCGTCCCAGGGTATACGGTGACGTGCGTTCTTATTTTCATCCACGGTAAGCAAATCGAAACAAGGCAAGCAACACCCGGATTAAAACTCCCGTTAAAATGTTTATCCGAAGGCAGCGACGCGCACCGTTACATTCTCCATCTGCCACGAAACGGAAAACCGGGAGCACCCTCGTCTTTCTTTGTGTGCTTGTACGTATTATTCCTATACATGTATGTTTTTCTGCACCAGGAAACTGTACTCCCCGCTAATGAACAGTCGCGTCGTGTATACGAGAATCCAAAAGTGTGACTCCGCCGCAACGCGGGGAAGCGTATTCCCTCTCTCTACGCGGACCCATGGACGCTCCCTCGCGCGAACTGTCTCGAGTGCGCGCTCGGATTTACCTCAGCCAGCCTTTCTGCGGCGCGCTCAGAAATAAGCACCGTTCTCCCGCGCGGGCATTTCGGCGCCGCCTAATCCAGCGCGCGGGGAAGCGGCCGCGAAACGTGGGCTCGTATACACGTGCTCAAACGATATTTCAGGAGCTGTATGCGCCACCGTTGTTATTAATTTACGGGCCGTAATAACCGCGCCCGCGCAAGTTTTCCTCCCCTTGGCGCGGACGTCGCTGCGGACGCCATGATAGCGGCCCACACGGGAAGGGAATTGCCGCAAACAAGGAGCTCGAGCCGATGGCGCCACTGCTATCCCCGCGTAAATGCACGGCCGGAGTCAAAGGAGAGGATGCGGAGCTCTCTCTCTCTCTTTTGTTTTTGAGGGGTGGGGAGAGAGATG